TCCCATGTTCTTCCTCTTTCAGATTTGGAACAATTAGTAAGGTCATTGTGTGAAATTTTGTGGAATATATTTTTACCAATAGAATATCCAATAACTACTTTAAGAAATTCTGTTGTTATACTAAGCATATCTTCTATTTCAATAGGAAATACATTTGCAAATCTAAAAGCAACCAATGTGTACAATTCAGATTTCCATATATGATGAGGATATACAAACTAACATGACTTTGATGCATTTATATTCTGTTTAGGAATGATAATATAAAATTATAAGCAATAAGTAAAATATTAATTAGCATATCCTGAAGAGACACAACATGTGATAAGTCACAAATGCACATGCAACCATATTATTTCATTGAGAGGAATTGGAGAGCAGCCAGTGCTCTCAGCATACCTACCTTGTTGAGCATCAGGTGATTTCCACACCTCTTTTTGTCTCGAGCACTATTTTTTACATTTATCCACTGTATAAATTACAGAATCTTAAATCTAGGTATTCTTTACCTTTGAAGGATTAGTAGATAGTACATAGTTGGCCATAAAATATCAAGAATTTTTTGTGGTACCTTGAAAAGAAGAGAAGTTTGTCACTTTATTTACTCATTAAGAATGAATGTATTGACAAGACTCTTTCAGTCAGTTTTCACTTGTTAAACAGTCAAGAATTTACATGAAATATGTGTAGGTACATACAAACATATATGCCTAGCCACACTGCTGTTAATTAACAGTGACTTTTGAAACTCTTAGGGCATACAAACATAAAGTAAAATAACTTCAGTTTTAATAAGACAGTTGATTAGATCCTTTGATGAAGGTCAGTAAAATTAAGGATTATGATGTTGAACTCTGTTTTTTTTTTTAAGAATTATTTTTATTTAACTTTATTTTAATTTGACCAGAGATGGACAGAGTGAGTGAGTGAGAGATAGATAAAGAGAGAGAAAGTGAGAAAGCAAGCCTCCAGGTCTGGGACTTGAACTGTGTTTGGCCATGCTAGAGTCCAGCTCCCTTAACCACCAAAACAGCCCGTTTTTCTTTTTAAAAAAGAGAGAGTTTTGCTATAGGGCTCACGCGCTCTCCAGAGAGACAGAGAGACAGAAAGAAATAGCCCTCCTGGGGTATGGCCACATTCCAATCCCTTCTCCATTCTCCTCTCTTGATCTTAGATATGTAGGCACATGCTCCTGATCTGAGTTTTAAGCCACTGGGTTTGGGGCAACTGTGGTCGACTATGTGGGAGTCCAGTCCATTATGCCATCTGCTGGTCCCTCCAAAATAGCTTTTTAATGAAGTACTTTTAAAAGAATAAGTTATGATATAGTAAGTAAGCTATGATAATACTTAGTGCATACAGTTAACACACATGAAATTTTGTCAGTCTGCATGAGTTTTCAAGTCACTCAGTCTGAGACTGGGTTCCTCCTGAATCAAATACTCTGGTCTAAAAAAACCTGTGTCTCATTATCAAATTAGGTTATATGGAAATACATACTTTTCTTTTTATTTTTCTCTTGCTTCAGGGCGTGTGTGCTCATCAGAAAGAAAGAAGGAGATGAAAAAGCATCCTCCTGCCCCATGGAGAATGGTCATGCCATAAGCCCTTCTCTATGTCTCCCTCCTTTCGGGATTTTAGGCATGCATGCACATATCCACAATATGTTTCTCAAGCCACTGGGTTTGGGACTTGAACCACAAAGTTGACCACGAAGGCTACCTTAACCACCAAGCCACGGAGCTGTCTTGAAATACACGTTTTAGTCATGAAGCAGTTATGAGTGTTTTTAGTTTCTTATCCAAAGTAATATATTACATTATATTTCATTATTTTATAGATTAGTCCTAAATATTTAAGGAAGAATGAATTATATTAGTATTTATTTTTCCAGATCTCTGGCCAGAATTGCTGTAAATCAAAATATGAGGGAAGAAATACAGGAAAATCAAAAGGTTCGTTTGAATTTATTTTTTTAAAGGTTTATCACTTTAATATCACTATTTCTGACTTTAGTTCTTCAGTTTTCATATAGAAAGAATGGTAATTTGTGGGTTTATTATTACATAATTCAGGTCTAATAATTCAGGTCTTCCATTTTTACTTTTGAGGAAACAAGAATGGCTCAACATTAGGAAATCTAGTCATTAATTAATATTATTAGATCCAAATGGTAAAATTATATGATTATTCCATGGGTACTGAAAGAGCATTTTATAAAATTCAAGACCAATTACTAATTATGAAAAAAAAAACACACAAAACCTTTTATAATGGAATTGATTGTACATCTTTAATGTTATTAAGAATTTTAAGCATGTATTATCCCAACTTAAAGACCATCATCTTACTAGAGGCATGTTTACTAAGATAGAAACAAGACAGTGAGGCTCATCATTATCACTATAATTTGCTGTCAAATAAGAGTTATTAGTCAACATTATTAATCATGTTAAATATATTGGAATATAAAAATGTTGGAGCAAAGTGAGGTATGAGAGAATTGGAAGATTACATTACAAAGAAGTCAATGATGAGTTAATTATAAGTTAAATGTAATTGGAACCTGATGAAAAATACCCAGAGTTGTTTGTCTTTCCCTGAAACTTGGTAAACCTAAAATTTCATATAGAAAAACAGGCAAGGAATACTCTGAACAGTTAAAGACCAATAAGGACCTTCCCTGTATGGTTACCATTTGGTGTCTGGGCACCCTGTTGAGGGCTATAGCAGCCTCTTGCTCCTGTCAACTATTCTACTTCTTATTACATTAGAATTAGTGGTAAAACCGTTCTGAAACAAGCTTTGATTGTAGAGCAATAAATCTTGAATGTAATCAGTAAATAGTCATGACACTGTAGATCATATGTCCTTTTGATCAGCTACCTCTTCCAGGACATATGGGTAGGAGAAAGACTAGGATGGTAATGGCTCTCATGTAATTAGTCTTGGATAAACATGTTTGGACTAGCATTCCTTGTTCCCCACTAGCCCGTGGAGTGTGTGAAAAGTAACTAAACAAACCACAGTTCCAACCCTGGGGAAACAGGTCGTGAGTGGTAGAAGGTCAGAAGCTCCTGGACTGCTCCTTGCAGGGTTACTCTCATGGATCAGGCGATTGAACACCCTGGAAGTGTATCACTGTTAACATCTCATCCACACACGCCACAAACCACAGAGTATTTTTTCTGCAAAAACACATAAACAGTACATAACACAAAAAATAAATAGTAGTGGTCTTTAAATATAGTCATGGATTGCTTAATAATGGAGACATGTTCTGTCTGCTAGGCAGTCTTATCATTGTGCAGACATCATGGCATATTTACACCAAACCATGACCTGCACATCTAGGATATATGGTTTTTTTTTTTTAATGTTTTTACCATAGAGCATATGCA